TGAGACAGAGTCTCGCTCTGCTGCCCAGCCTGGAATATGGTGGCACAATCTTGGCTCACTGCAACCTCTGCCTCCCGGGTTCCAGCAATTCTGCTGCCTCAGCCTTCTGAGTAGCTGAGATTATAGGTGCACACCACCACGCCTGGCTAATTTTTGTATTTTTAGTAGAGACAGGGTTTCATCATGTTGGCCAGACTGGTCTCAAACTCCTGAACTCAGGTGATCCACCTGCCTCAGCCTCACAAAGTGCTGGGATTACAGGCATGAGCCATTGCTCCTGGCAATGGCTTTACCATATCTTGACTTCACTGTGTACCTGGAGGGCCGAGGCTCAGTCCCCTGGAGCTTCCTCACTAGGAGTTCACTGCTTCTGCGGAGCACATCCCGGATCTTGCCCAGAGAGCCACTCCTCTGCAGGGTCCCACTGCCATCCTGGCAGAGAGGGGTAGGCAATGAAAGCTAAGGGATCCCACACAGATGGGTTTCTGAGTCTACTCCTGCCATTTATTCTGCACACATCCCCCACCCCCAAGGCCCAGTGACTAGAAATAAAAGCCCTGTCAAAAGCTGGCTCCCAGACACCCCTAAAGGGATACACTAATGTTAGACAGGGACAGCATGGCCAAGAGCCTCCCACCACCACCAGCAGGAGTGGGTGGGAGAGATGAAAAGGCAATGATGAGACTTACTCCCGACCACTCCACAGCCACAGAAGCATCTTCACCTCCTTCGAATTTCACACTGTCCCCAGGGCCCTCCTGGGAGGTCCTTCTACCGTCACTCTCTCCAAGCAGCTCTGCCACCTTCGTCTGGCTGATAGGGTCAGTGCCCTGGAAGGAAAAGGAAGGACCTGGGACTTCCTACTCCTTAACTCCTCAGGATGGGGGCTTTCAAATCTTTTTCAACATCAGCCACTGCAAGGAAAACATTTTTCCTTGTGATGTCCCAGTATATACCTACTGGAACAATACTCACCTTTTCTATTTGCAATGCATTGCTATATATAGATCTGTATATGTATTTAGCCCCATGGCCCACACTGAATTGATTTCACAACCTACTATTGAGACTCACAATCTGAGAAACTCTGACTTAGGCTCTCCCCCACTTTACCACCAGTCCCCTCCTTATGAAAGGGCAGAGATTGTCCTTTATATCTCCGTTTAGTGAATCTTGAATCTAGAGTCCTGTCCAAAAGTACAGGTGTGGGGGTAAGAACATGCTTAAAAACACCCACAATGACAATACTGCCTCACTTTCCTCTCCCTCCTGGCCTCATCAGCCTTTCCACTTATTCTTAGGAGACTCCCAAGAAACCTTCGCAGTCTCTCATCCCCAGGGCCCTTCCTTCTAGGACCTCCTTCCCCTCTGGGCTTCTGACCTGTCTCCGGGACCGCAGAGCACATTCCTCCAGGGTCTCAGCGGCCTCCAGCTTTCCCTGGCGCCTATACAGAGCTCCCAGGTTTCTCAGAGTCGTGTTCACTGTGGGGCTGTGGTGAGAAACAGACCAGAGAAGGAAGAGAGAATGGGCTCAGAAAAGAAAAATTTGTCTTCCAAGCAAGACAAGAGGGAAAAAAATAAGAAAATAGGACAGGGAACAGAGCTAAATCTGAGGGAAAGTCTAAGGGAGGAAGGGAAAAGGTCTGGGAGGCTGGGAGCAGGGACTAGACAGGGGGCATTGGAGGCCAAGCTGACTTTTTACTGGCAGCTCACCTGCTCACTTTGCAGGCCTTGTACCAGCCTCCATACTCAGCATAGGGTGTGCCACCCTCATGATGCCGGCTCTGCAGGATAGAGAGAGGCCAGAGAGAAGGGCAGGGGGGGCCAGAGATAAGAATACAGAGATGCTGGGATGCAAGGTGGCATGGGGCTAGGGTGCAGGCTGGGCTGGGGAGGGCACCATGATGCATCTGGGGCTGGTGCTGGGGTGGCAAGTGAGCAGCAGGGCTAATGTAAGGAGTAAGACAGAGACCCTGGGAGCCTTGAGCTCCCCAGGCTGGCCCCCCTTCCCCCCACTCACTTTGCTCATTTCCTCCCGCTCCTCTGCATGCATCCAGATGGGCTTGTGGTCATCTGGGGGTGATACATGGGGTGGGGTTAGAGATCCGAGCTAGACAGTGTCAGGGAGCCAGGACCCAGAGGCTGACAAGGCTGGACTGAAGGGGCCTGGCTCCCCCTGGGAACCACTGTGGCCTAACCGGCCAACCCTTGGTCTACATTTCTTTTCCTCCCTGCAGCCCCTTCCCTAGGCCCTCACCACTCACCATCCACAGACCCAAACTCCTGCACATGGGCACGGGTCAGGATCTCTTTGTATAGTGTCTCAGCCTCAGCATATTTGCCCTGTTTCAGGTAACAGGAAGCCTGGGACATAGAAAGGCAAAAATACAGGAACAAAGCATGGAGGGAGGCAAGGCCTTTTTTTTTTTTCTTTAAATTTTTTTTCTTTTTTTTTTTTGCAGACAAGGTCTTCACCAGGCTCAGGGAGTTCCACTCCTCAGTGTCTCTATGACTTTCCCCAGATATCTTTCTCACACCTCCTTCTCCAGGTGCAGGGTCAAGGGTATTCCCAGCCCACTCCCAAGAAGCTGTGGAACTTCTATAACTGAGATGAAGCAGAACCTTCATCCCCAAAGGCAGCCCCAGAAATGGGCAAAGTTGATGACAGTAATGTGCCAGACTGTGATGCGTCCTGACTCTACGACTCAGGTGGCCTCTCCCTCCTGTTCCTTCTACCTACTTTGTCCCCTCCTCCCATACCAGGTTGTTCTTGGTCCGGGCTACATTAGGGTTGTCTGGCCCCAGTTGCCCCTCATAGATGGCCAGTGCTCGCTGGTAGTGGCGTTCCACGGCCTCATACTTGCCCTGGTTTTGGCACAAGAGGGCCAGGTTGTTCAGCTGCTTTGCCACATCTGGGTGATTAGTGCCCAGGACCTGAAAGGGAACAAAGGATTGGATAAATGGCTGATTACATGTGCATGCACAAGCACATGTGTGTGTGTGTGTGTGTTCACATGTAGGCACACACACGTGGAAGGCAGAGAAATGGGAATGAAGGAAGAGAGAACAAGGCAGAGATGGGGGTGAGGAAAAAAGAAGTGAAGGAGAAGGGTTAGACCAGAGGAGCCATGTAGAGAAGGGTCACAGTGACAAGGGAAGAAGGGACAGAGGGCATGGGTACCTTTTCTCGAATCTCCAGTGCCCGCTGGCACAGAGGCTCCGCCTCCTTGTATTTGCCCCTTTTGCCATAGAGCACAGCCAAATTGTTGAGCGTGGCAGCCACCTATGAAAACAGGCATGTCCCCATCAGACATTGGGTTGCAAAAGACCTACAGGAATCTGAGGTTCCCCACTTCCCAGCAGGGCCCCCACACTCACTGCACAACTCCAAGAGACAAAGACTCTACTACCCTAGCCAGGGGCTGAAGGGAGGGGAAATTGCTGAATAGGATGGCTCCGTGGCTAAGGGATGGTATCGCCCTCTAGGGGGATTTTCAGAAATTTCTGGAGTTGTTTTTTTTTTTCTTTTGGTTGCATAAAGATTGCTTTTGAGCAGACAAAAATGCTATAGATGTTCTGCATGTGTGAGACAGCTCTACAAACTTTTGAATGTCCCGCCGGACATCCAAACGCTAAATGTAAACATTGACATTTGATGGGATATCAAGATAGGGGTATGATAGTTCTGAGATATGTCATCCCTGCCTATCATATATCATACCATAGGGAATTATTTTTTTTATTTATTTATTTTTTTTGAGACGGAGTTTCGCTCTTGTTACCCAGGCTGGAGTGCAATGGCGCGATCTCGGCTCACCGCAACCTCCGCCTCCTGGGTTCAGGCAATTCTCCTGCCTCAGCCTCCTGAGCAGCTGGGACTACAGGCACGCGCCACCATGCCCAGCTAATTTTTTGTATTTTTAGTAGAGACGGGGTTTCACCATGTTGACCAGGATGGTCTTGATCTCTTGACCTCGCGATCCACCCGCCTCGGCCTCCCAAAGTGCTGGGATTACAGGCTTGAGCCACCGCGCCCGGCCCATAGGGAATTATTTTTACACAGACTCACGCTCAAACATAATTTTTCAGCTGGGCATGGTGGCTCATGCCTGTAATCCCAGCACTGTAGAAAGCTGAGGTGGGTGGATCACTTGAGGTCAGGAGTTCAAGACCAGCCTGGCCAAAATGGTAAAAACCTGTCTCTACTAAAACTGTAAAAATTAGCCAGGCATGGTGGCACACACCTATAATCCCAGCTACTTGGGAGGCTGAAGCAGGAGAATCACTTGAGTCCAGGAGGCAGAAGTTGCAGTGAGCCAAGATCACACCACTGCACTCCAGGCTGGGCAACACTGTGAGACTCCGTCTCAAAAAAAAAAACCAATCTTTTCATTTTCTGTACATTGATGATTCCGTCATTTGCCTTGGCCTTGGTGTGATATCCCTACTTAGGGCTGTTTCTCTCTCTTTTGTTTTTTTAATCTCATGCTGGGATTACAGGCGTGAGCCACCACGTGCAGCTTCTTTTTTTTTATTTCTCATTTTATTTTATTTTCAGACAGAGTCTCACTCTGTTGCCCAGGCTGGAGTACAGTGGCATAATCTTGGCTCATTGCAACCTCAGCCTCCCAGGTTCAAGCAATTCTCCTGTCTCAGCCTCCCGAGTAGCTGAGACTACAGGTGCCTGCCACCACACCCGGCTAATTTTTGTATTTTTAGTAGAGATTGGGTTTCACCTTCTTGGTCAGGCTGGTCTCGAACTCCTGACCTCAGGTGATCCACCCGCCTCGGCCTCCCAAAGTGCTGGAATTAGGCTGGGTACAGTGGCTCACGCCTGTAATCCCAGCACTTTGGGAGGCTGAGGCAGGTGGCTCATGAGGTCAAGAGATCGAGACCATCCTGGCCAACATAGTGAAACCCAATCTCCACTAAAAAATACAAAAATTAGCTAATCATGGTGGTGTGTGCCTGTAGTCCCAGCTACTTGGGAGGCTGAGGCAGGAGAATCGCTTAAACCAGGGAGGCAGAGGTTGCTATGAGCTGAGATCACGCCACTGCACTCTAGCCTGGTGACAGAGAGAGACTCGGTCTCAAAAAGAAAAAAAAAGTGCTGGGATTACAGGCGTGAGCTACTGTGCCCAACTGATTTTTATTTTTTTGAAATGGTGTCTTGCTCTGTTGCCTAAGCTGGAGTGCAATGGTGCGATCTTAGCTCCCTACAACCTCCACCCGCTGGAGTCAAGTGATTCTTCTGCTTCAGCCTCCAAATAGTTGGGATTCGTTGGGATTACAGGCATATGCCACCACACCCAGGTAATTTTGTTATTTATTTTTTTTTAGTAGAGATGGGGTTTCACCATGTTGGCTAGGCTGGTCTTGAGCTCCTGACCTCAGGTGATCCACCTGCCTCAGCCTCCCAAAGGGCTGGGATTACAGGCATGAGCCACCACACCCGGCCTCTTTCTCTTATATACAAATAAATCTGGTCTGTGATTTCTTTTTTTTTTTAAAGACAGGGTTTCATCATGTTGGTCAGGCTGGTCTTGAACTCCCGACCTCAGGTGATCCGTCCACCTTGGCCTCCAAAGTGCTTGGATTACAGGCGTGAGCCATCACGCCCAGCCTGTGATTTCTTACAATACTGTACTTTAATCAAGTGTCCACCTATATTTCAACTTTTTTTTTTTTTAAGAGACAGGAGCTCGCTCGGTTTCACAGACTGGAGTGCAATGGCATGATTGTAGCTCACTGTAACCTCAAACTCCTGAGCTCAAGCAATCCTCCCACCCTAGACTCCCAAGTAGTTGGGACTACAGGTGTACATCACTGTGCTCGGTTAATTTTTAAAATTTATTATAGAGACAGGGTCTTGCTGTGTTGCCCAGGTTAGTCTCCCACTCCTGGCCTCAAGTGATGCTCTTGCCTTGGCCTCCCAAAGTCCTATGAGCACAGGCATGACATGACACTGAACCCAGCCTCTATCTCATTTTTCTAGTACTTCTCATATGGAATGGCTTATTGGTGCTCTAAATCCACAGTTATTCATTATATATCAGACCACTTTGCTGTTTCTTTTCTTTTTTTGAGACAGAGTCTCCCCTGTTGCCCAGGCTGGAGTGCAATGGCGCAATCTCGGCTCACTGCAACTTCCATCTCCCGGGTGATTCTCCTGCCTCAGCCTCCTGAGTAGCTGGGATTACAGGTGCACACCACCACACCTGGCTAATTTTTGTACTTTTAGTAGAGATGGGGTTTCACCATGTTGGTAAGGCTGGTCTCAAACTCCCGACCTTATGATCCCGCCTGCTTCAGCCTCCCAAAGTGCTGGAATTACAGGCGTGAGCCACCCCACCTGGCCCACTTTGCTATTTCCTTTAACAAAGTTGTATTCGATATAGCTACTGTTGTATCATATTTTATCTTATATTACATTGTATATATATTGTTCTTATAAATTACTTTCCTTGTTTTTCTTTTATGAGGGTATCATACTAACTTTTTTGGAAATCATTGTGGATTTATCTATGACTTATCTATGAATTAAGTTCAAGCAAAAAATATTTGTTATAAAAAGGAGTCACTGAGTCCCAGAGAACTGAGAAGCACTAGGACCACTGGACAGTGCCTAGAAGAAAGGACTTCTCATGCCTCCTTCCTCAGCACCCTTAGTGAGTAGACTGAGGGCAGCAGATGGATGAGCTAAGAGAGGCCAAAATAGCAATGGTGGGGGTGCAGGGCATGGGGCAGGGAAGGCAAGGTATACTGACAGCAGGATGGTCCGGGCCCAGGGTGCTCTCCCGGATGCTGAGGGCATCATTCAGCAAGTGGGCAGCTTCCTTATACTTATTCTGGTCCCTGGAAGAAGACAAAAGTGACAGGAGTTATCCTGAACTCTGCCCACAAGACTTCTCCTTCCCTCCCTCCCTTTGGGAGGACTGAGTACATTTAAGGATGGGGGACCTCCATGAGGAGACAGGAAGCCTGGTATGGACAGTGAAGGGGCTTCACTGACACACTCACACCAGAATGCAGGGCACTGCCATCCCAAGAGAAGGCCACAAGTTATAGGAAGTGAGGGGGCAGGGGGAAGGGGGGGGGAGAGAAAGGGGAAGAGAGAGAGAGAGACAGAGAGAGAACTCCCCAAAAGAGAAATTAGAGGGACAAGGAGCCCAAGAGATGAGAAAATGCTTAGGTATGGGAAAAGTAAGAGTTCTGGCACATTAGGAAGCACCCTAGTGGGGTGTATCTGGGAAGCCCAACAGGGAGGAGAGGTACCCTGTGAAGAGGAAGAATGGAAGCCAAAGGAGGACCAAGGTGGAAATGTGGGGGAAGATTCTGGGCACTGGAGAAGGGAAGTCCTCACCGATACACCAAAGCAAGAATGTTGAGCATGGTGGCAACATCAGGGTGGCCCCGGCCTGATGTGCGCTCCAGGTCCTCTAGTGCCTGCTTACAGAGTGGCACAGCCACCTCATAGCGACCCTGGGCTGCATACTGGATCACCAGGTTGTGCAACGTCCGCAATCTTGCTGGGATCTCGTATCCACCCTGCTGGGCTGCTGCAGCTCCTTGACCACGGGACACTAAACCATCACAGAACATAAACAAGAGAATTCCTCAAAGGACTCTTCCTCTCCTCTTTGCTGTCTGCCCACCCACTCCCCATCGCATGTCTTGTTCCATACCTGTGCCCACCCCTACCTGGGCTCTCAATCAAGGCCTGTTTCAAGTGCCATTCTTTTATCCACTCCCTTGGCCTATGCCCATCACAACCCCAGCTGTTCACCCAGTAATTCATTAATTCAACAAACATTTATTTAATAAGTATGAACCAGGGGATGTCCCAGGAGTACAAAGGTAAGAAAGACCTGGTTCTTTCCCTTGAGGGCCTCATGGTCGCCCCGTCTCAGGTTCATTTTCCCACTGGACAGTGAACTCTTTACTGGCGAGACCTATTTCATTTCCATCTCAGTACTCCTAGTGCCTAGCACAGTACCTGCCACATATTCAGTGTTTAATAAATTCAATTGGGAAGCTAAGGAAATCTAAGTACTAGCCCAGCCCCTGCCCTAACTCCAGAGGAAGTGGAAAACCTATTTCTAGATGGTGAGTGTCCTGTGTGCTAGGATAGCTAGGGCCTGCTTCCTGCTATCCCTTTCACCCTCCCATTCCAGAGGCAGACTCACAGCCATTGCTGGGGTCCTCTTCTTCCTCATTAGGGAAGAGGTCATCCAGGGAATCCTTGGCGGCATCACCTTCTTTCTCCTCCTGGAAGAGAAGAAGCAACATTTGAGGACCAGGATATCCCTAATAGCCTCCTTAGTGACCCCTCTAAGCCATGAAATCCCAGAAGATGGGGTCTAGGAGAAGACTATTGTTCTTGTCTCTGCTGCTGGAAAAGCTAGCATCTGGCCCAGCCAAGCTCAGGCCTCTTGTTTGTAACAGCCAGAGAAGCTTTGGACAAAATCTCAAGACTTCCCCCTCCTTCTCATACAGAAAGTTTCCTTCCTAACCACCCTCAATCTCTCCTCAACTCTTGTAATTATGGCCCCATGCTGATCTCTGTGTGTTTACGTTGATTATATATCTGCCCTGTCTCTCCTGAGGGAAGGGAGTGTGTCTGATCTTATTGACATGTACCCAAAAAGTGTCTAGCTCAGCCTGGTGCCCATCATCTGCACAGCTCATTCTGGACTTACCACAAAACCCTCCCTCACCGTCTAACCTATTCTGCACTAGGAAAATCTGCTTTTCCTCATCAGGAACTGCAGCCTCAAACAAACATCAGCCCTCCTACCCAGCTTCAGCAATGTGTCCTATGCAATTCATCTACTCACTTTCCCTGGGACAGACCAGCTTTTCCAGGCTGTAAGCCTTATCGATGACACCATGTACTCCAGTCTAAAAAGCTCCTCCCTCTTCCTCACCATGAACTTTCAAAATCCATTCTAACTCCTAAGCCACTCAGATGGGAAATCCAACCCGTATGCTACCCATTCCTGTACCCTGCTTCCTCTATTTTTTCGTTTGTTTTTTGAGGCAGTCTCTAGTCTGGCAACAGCTCAGGCTAGAGTGCAGTGGCACAATCACAGCTCATTGCAGCTTCCACCTCCTAGGCTCAAGCGATCCTCCTACCTCAGCCTCCAGAGTAGCTGAAGCTTCAGGTGTGCACAACTACATCAGGCTAATTTTTAAATATTGTTGTAGAGATGGGGTCTCACTATGCTGCCCAGGCTCCCTGCTTCCTCTATGAACTCTTCTTAGACCATTCCAGCCCTTAGAGACATATCTCCGTGAAATTCTTTCCACACTGACTGAACCACTCATCCAGCACTGGGCATTTGCTGCTTTGTATGTGTTCAAATATGTGTTCTTCTCATATATGGGTTCTTATGGGTAAGACTTGTTCCCTACAGATATAGCTCAAGAAAACACATACTCTCAGCCAGGCGTGGTGGCTCATGCCTATAATCCCAGCATTTTGGGAGGCCGAGGTAGGCAGATCACTTGAGGCCAGGAGTTTGAGACCAGCCTGGCCAACATGGCCAAACTCCGTCTCTACTAAAAATACAAAAATTAGCCAGGTGAGGTGGCAAGTGCCTGTAATCCCAGCTACTTGGGTGGCTGAGGCATGAAAATTGCTTGAACCCCAGAGACAGAGATTGCAGTGAGCCGAGATGGCCTCACTGGACTCTGTTGAGTGAGGGTTAAATTTCACACATTTTGGGCTGGGCATGATAGCTCACACCTGTAGTCCCGGCACTTTGGGAGGCCAAGGTGGGCAGATTACCTGAGGTGAGAAGTTCAAGACCAGCCTGGTCAACATGGTGAAACCCAGTCTCTAATAAAAATTCAAAAATGGGCCGGGCGCGGTGGCTCAAGCCTGTAATCCCAGCACTTTGGGAGGCCGAGG